GACTGGAAGCCCGAACACGTTCGCGAGGTTCTTGGCGCATATTCCGCTGCCACGAAGTACAACCGCGACTCGTACAAAGCCTGGCATTCCTGGGCTTTGGCCAACTTTGAAGTTGTGACAACGATCGCCAGTCAGACAAGCAGGGACGGGAATATCAAGCCCGTAGTCCCTGGCCATATTGTGTCAGAGCATGTCATACCTGCCATTGGAGGTTTCCTCAGATCAATCGCTTTGTCGTCGACCTCGTCTCTCCAGGATACCCTGAGACTGCTGACCCTCTGGTTCACTTACGGTGGTGACCAAGAAGTGAATAATGTTGTCACAGAAGGCTTCACCGCAGTGAACATTGACACCTGGCTTGCGGTAACTCCACAACTCATCGCTCGTATCAACCAGCCGAACCTCAAGGTCCGAACCGCTGTTCATCGCCTACTGGCCGAAGTGGGCAAGGCCCATCCGCAGGCGCTGGTGTACCCATTAACCGTTGCGATGAAATCGCATATTACCCGCCGTTCGCAATCCGCCAGCACCATTATGGATAGTATGCGGCAGCACAGTGCTACTTTAGTTGAGCAAGCCGATCTTGTCAGTCATGAATTGATTCGAGTCGCGGTTCTGTGGCACGAACTCTGGCATGAAGGCTTGGAGGAAGCCTCTCGGCTCTACTTTGGTGACCATGATGTGGAGGGCATGTTTGCAACTCTGGCGCCACTACATGACATGCTTGACAAGGGTGCGGAAACGCTGCGTGAGGTTTCTTTCGCGCAGGCATTTGGACGGGATCTTGCAGAGGCGAAGCACTATTGTATGCTGTATCGTGAGACGGAAGAAATCGGCGATCTCAACCAAGCCTGGGATCTCTACTATACTGTCTTCCGCAAGATTAGCCGGCAGCTCCCACAGTTGTCGACTCTTGACCTCAAATACGTCTCCCCCAGGCTCAAGGACTGCCATGACCTTGCCCTTGCTGTTCCTGGAACCTACCAGAGTGGCAGACCAATCATCCGAATCATCAGCTTTGATCCTATATTGCATGTGCTTCAAACTAAGAAGCGACCTCGACGAATGACTCTGAAGGGAAGCAACGGTAGCTCTTACATGTATGCCCTTAAGGGACATGAGGACATTCGGCAAGACGAGAGAGTCATGCAGTTATTCGGACTTGTAAACACCTTGCTTGATAACGATGGCGAAACCTTCAAGCGACATCTTTCCGTCCAGCGGTTCCCTGCAATCCCCTTGTCTCAGAGCTCTGGTCTGCTGGGATGGGTCTGCAACAGCGATACATTACATGCACTGATCAAAGAGTACCGTGAAAGTCGCCGCATCCTACTCAATATTGAACATCGCATTATGCTGCAGATGGCGCCAGATTACGACAATCTCACTCTGATGCAAAAGGTCGAGGTGTTCGGATACGCCATGGACAACACTACTGGAAAAGATCTGTATCGTGTTCTGTGGCTCAAGAGTAAGAGTTCCGAGGCCTGGCTTGAGCGCAGGACGAATTATACAAGATCTCTGGGAGTCATGTCGATGGTGGGCTATATTCTGGGTCTTGGTGACCGTCATCCGTCCAATCTTCTGCTGGAGCGCGCCACCGGAAGAGTGGTTCATATCGATTTCGGTGACTGTTTCGAGGTGGCAATGCACCGTGAGAAATATCCAGAGAGGGTGCCCTTCCGGTTGACTCGCATGTTGACTTTCGCCATGGAAGTCAGCAATATCGAGGGAAGCTACCGTATCACCTGCGAGGCTGTTATGCGCGTGATCCGAGACAACAAGGATTCCCTTATGGCGGTTCTGGAAGCGGTATGTTTTGTCCATTTCTAACTCAATATTTCACTAAGATGGTATTTTGAAACTAACCTTTGATCTTTTACTACAGTTCATTCACGATCCCTTGATCAATTGGCGTCTGAACATTCGCGAATCGCCAGAACGGCCGCCGTTCAGCACTGAGCGCCGACAGTCGATTACGTCCGTCATGAATCTTGAGCATGGCGTTCAGCCCAGCAATTTCTCCCGTCACCGTCGTCCATCTATTCTTGACGGTGGTATCCTCGATGTCCAGGAGGGCATTCCGCCTGAAGCCCGTGAGGCACAGAATGCACGAGCAGTGCAGGTGCTTGCTCGGGTCAAGGAGAAGCTCACAGGCAGAGACTTCAAGCCCACTGAAGAGCTCAATGTGAGTGATCAAGTGGACAAACTTCTCGCGCAGGCAACGAGCGTGGAGAACATATGTCAGCATTGGATTGGATGGTGTAGTTTCTGGTGATCTTCCCTTCTGCAGTCTAAATTTTCTGGAGTCTTATAATGGCGCGCATCGTGTTATGGTGATTTCTTGCACGGCGTTGATATTCCCCTTTCCTCCCTTTTTTTGTATGTATGCCTTCTGCCGTCTGCCGTTACTATGTTCCTCTCTTCCACCTTCGACTCTTCTCAACTGCCTCAATTATCGGTGTTGCATCGTTGTACCCAGTTTTCTCGAGGAAACGGGGAACATTCGGGGGTCTGTATGTGGTTTAATGATTATTGACACTCACACGGAGTAGAGCAGCATAAATGGCCTGTAATAGACATCATTACAGTTGTGAATCTTTAAAGCTATTTGAATCAACTGTCCTCTTGCAGTTCATTTTAACGGACTGTTCTATGAGCGGCACTTGCATGAGCATCCACTCACAAGCTGAGGTCGCCAGCGGTCCGTGACTTCAGCTTCCATCTAAGAAGCGGAGAAATTCTGGGCAATTCATTTCGTTTCCTTTCTGCATCCTCACCTCTCCACCGTCTCATCCATTAGTTCGCGATTCTATTTCAAGCGGTGAGGTATCTATTTGATGCTTGCCCGAAATCGATGAACCATGACGCCCGCGGACCCAGATGCCCATCCTCTCGTTCGCAACGCTCTCCGCATCACCCTGAGCGCCAAGGAATACAAGCTCCTCCACGAATACATCATCCAGCGCACACCTCCTTCCGTCCAAGACAAGGCTCCCTCTCCATCTCAATACGAGGCCATCGTCCGATCAAAGAACAAGCACAATGAAGCCGCGCTGCGTGCCTCCCTACGAGTCTTCCTCGTCTCTGGCGGGGTCCTGAAGCTCGTAGACGCAATTGTCCGCCGCATCCAAGGTGACCTGTCCAAGTAAGTTGTGCAATATCGCGGGCTCAAATTCAAAATAACAGTAGGTCGCGTTGACGCTGCCGCTGACTCTTTTGCTCCAATGCTAGGAAGAAACCACGCTCCTCAATCCTGCACTCCCCCAACTTCCACCTCTCCCTCTCGCTCTCCATTGTCCTCCTCCTCCACCGATTCCTCCATCGCTTCTTCGTCAAACTCCGCACGAACCTTCGCACAGATGACGCGAGGCCCTTCCGCGAGCGAAACCCGCGGGTCTCCAGGGCGCTGACGTCGCGGTATGCGCCTGCCGTCGGGGCAAGCATGGCCGGTTTCGCGCTGGGCATCTGTCCGCAGACGCAGCTTCGGATTACGGCGGCTATTTATGCGGGGACGCGGACGATGGAGTTCGTGTTCAATGCGCTGGAGGAGAAAGGGTGGTTCGGGGACCGGCCTTGGTGGTTTGGGAGCTGGCTGTTGATGCCTGTGTCGTGTGCGCAGCTGTTCCATGCGTTTGTTTTTGATCGCGAGACTGTGCCCAAGGTATGTTCTCTTCGTATTTGCGCACTCCTGTGAGAGCTGCTGGCCCGAAAAGGCATGTACTGATTGATGCTTAGTGGTTTGGAAACATTCTGTTCAGATTGTCCCCTAGCTACATCCGCGGTCGACCAGAGAGTCTGCCGGCGGGATTTCCATGGCCGGACAAGGAAGCTGTGGTCGATTCACTGGCAAACATTGCCAGGTTGCGGTGGCCGTGAGTTCTACATTACTATGGATAGCATACAGTATCCGAGTCACTAATTCTATAACGCAACAGAGCATTTATTTCGCCGATTCTGCACCCGGCCGACCCGAATACTCTGCCATCGGCAGTCAAGTTCATTTCACCCATTACTGGGCCCGCACACCCATCTATTTCTAACCTGGCATGTGCTTTGCTTCACCCGAGCAGCCCTAGCTGCGGCACAGCATTCCTGCACCATATTCTCCTCTCAGTGCCACCCCTTGCTCGGTTCCTGACTACCGTCACCCTGGCACTATCGGTTCTCAAATTCAAGACAATCGTGTCTCATCCAATCTCGGCGGTGAATAACCTCTCAAAGAAGATCATCAAGCTCACGGCCCTTCTGTCCGCCGCGGCTGGGTCTGCATGGGGCACCTTGTGTCTCTGGAATGCCATCCTGCCACGCTCCGTCCTCCCCACGAAGCGCTTCTTCCTCAGCGGTGCTGTTGCAGGCATGCCATTTGCATTCCTAGGGAATAGTCGTAGCATCTTCATGTACTTCTTCCGGCTGACCGTGCGCTCGTCGTGGGACGTTGGTGTCAAACGTGGCCGTTGGAAGGGCTGGAAGGGTGGAGACTTGTGGATCATTATCCTCGCCTGGGCGGTTATGGGCTCCTTGCTGGAGAATAGACCATCCGTTGTCCAGGGTAAGGGTGTCAGAAAGTCCTTGACGTGGTTGCGAGGAGACGGTTTCGTTGACCCTGTGGAGGCTGCGGCGAAGAAGAAGGCCAGAAAGGCATCAACCCAAAAGCAGCCTGGCAATGAGGCGCGAGCGTAATGTACTCGAGACCCACCGTCGTGAGCGTCCTTTTTCCATCAAATGCGCCTATGCATTCCTCGCACTTCACTTGAGGGCTATTTCGGTTTCGATTCTTTTGCACCTTGGTGAATTGTTTCTGTACCTTAGTCCCATAGCGATGAATATGAGTCATGTCTAGGCTTCTGAGCGACCATCGTAAGGGAGATAATGAAAGGCGAATCTGCGCCCAGTCGAATAGAGAGCATTAGAACAAGAGTGAGCTTTTCGCATCGGCCCCTGGTCTTTCGATGCCCTCATGATACCCAAATAGCGCAACACTGCGCCAAGAGCATCAATTATTGCATTCCCGCGAGCCTTAGCTGTTCCTCAACGTACTCTTGCTTGACGACAAGAGGGGCGCGAGCGCGGGAAGCATTGTTCGCAGATGAAGGCGAAGGTAGCGGAGGTGTCGATGGATTTTGTACGTCTTCTCCTGCTGAGTTCCGGTTAGTGACCCTGACATCCAGGCTATATAATCAAACTCACATTGTGAAACCAAATAAAAAACAGGATCTCGGCCACCTTCGGCATGAATCTGCGAGTTTATCGCACCACGCCACTGACTTTGAGTCGACAACGGTATCGTGATCGGTGGTAGGCCCAGCGATCGAGACACCACATTCGCTGGAGGGCGATATTCCAAACGATGTGCAGTAAAGTCATAGCCACATTGCGCCTCAACTATCGAGAGCCAATGGTCAAAGTCCAAGTCAATGAGCCGCGGTATGAAATCGATTTTGCGCGATTCTGGGCTTGTAAGGAGGTCTTGCATCGAGCATAGACCATGCTGAGCGGGGTTTACTTCGTTCAGAACCCATATGTTCCGAGAGAGCAGATCTGGCAGGGGTGGTTGGAGTGGAGCAGCTTGAGTCGGTGTTGTCCTAGCTCTTTTGCTCGGGGGCTCCGCGACAGTCTCTTCCTGCACAGTGACTGCAGGCCCGGCCGCGTCGACTGCATTGGCCTGCTGCTCAGCCGCATTGCTTGGAATACTGCTTGGGGGTTGATCAGCCTGATAATTATCATCCCGTTCAACTCTCTGACTTCTGCGGACAATGCTGCTGCCGTGATCGAAGGTGCTCGATGGGGGTTCGGCGGCCTGGTTCGGTCTTCCGCGTGCTGCAAGATAATGTACATGTTCGTTCTTGATTTTGTAGGCCATCCCTATTAGCCCGTCCATCCGGGCCTTGTTGAAAGATGCATCTTGGACGAAGCCAGGCAATCGGTGCAAGTTCGACTGTATCCACTCTTGCAGTTCCGTTCTGGCAGCCTTCGACTTGTACCCTTTGTCCAATTTGCCATGCGCGCTCATCAACTGCGTCAAGACGCGCCTCAACTCGTGGATCTCCTTGTCCGTCCCGCCCAAATACGTGGCAAATAACTTTTGGTTCCAGTTACGGGGACGGGGCGAGTCCATGACGGGTATTGCGTGGTTATCTGTAGGATGAAGCGCCGAAAATTGAGAGATGAGGAGTCTACAGACATGTGAGTGAGATAAATCAACTTGATTTTTCGAATAATAATCACTGACCTAAGCTAGAGTGAACAAATGGCAGCTCTTGCGCACGCACGAACTTTGAAGCTAAGCTCTGCTCTTACTCCAACCTGGACGCGTCGGATGACACGTGGTAAAGAGTTTATGCAACAAATGGAGAAGATTCTTTTGTGGTAGCTGAAAGCAATTCAGAACGCCATCACAATGAATCATCAGATCTGTTCAGTAAGATCTCTAATGAGGAAAGATAAATAAAAAGTTTAAAAACTGCACCCATGATTGCTAGAACGATCCAAACCATGCGGACAACTCTGTGGGGAAAGGAAAGTCCGGCGGTAAGCACGTGAAAGGCCATACCGCTAAGGAGATATCTGGCTCTATCCATACTTTAAGTCCTAGGCAGAATACTGGTTAAGCAGCGACGACACTGACGCACTGTAGGCTCATGGCACGGTGAGAAGCATCAGTGAACGCGACACTGGACCAGTTAGTAAGAAGATAGGCAAAAAGAAATAGTATTGTATTATATTCCGTTGCGGGGAATCGAACCCCGATCTCCTGTGTGAAAGACAGGTATGATAGCCGTTACACTACAACGGAGCAATGATAGGCTTCATTTTCCTGAAATAGATCTGACATCGCTGCTCTTACTCTCTATCGTGGCGCACCATCCCTTTGCTTATGCTCAAGGTCTAAACCTGGATCAATTAGCTGACAAATGCATCGAGGATTGAATGGCTTAAGCTCTCGTCAGGTCTCCATAGTTTGCAACCGCTAAGGTACAGCAGGGAGGCACAGCAGGAAGGCATCCACAGAGCGGGGAAAGTTGCTCGATTCAGGCATCCGCTGGAGGAAATCGGCTGGAAGCTCTTTTCCGACCTTTTCCCCGCTGGTGCTCCAAGTGGATACTCTGGGACAATTGGATACTACTCCAATAATGTAGCACCGACGGAAGTTCATTATTCAGACCTTGGTTCCTATTTCCCGGTTCAGTTGCTCATCAATAATCGAAATGCCGCGACCCTCTCGCCTGTTTGAGCCTTTTGAGAGCTCCCCAATCTGCGGTGCACAACTTCTCCTCACTGTGTGGGGTAAGAGACATTGGTGTTGCCTGCCCACCAATCTGACGCAGGAGACATAGCGGTCTGCAGTTCTTAGAGCATAGATCGCCTGGCTAATTTAAGTCTTCTTGCTCGTCCCTGATCTGGCGTGTGTTTCTTTCTATTATTCTCATCCTTCACTGACCAATTGGTCCAAAATCTATTCAATTTCAACCTTCCACAGCCTGTTATCTCACTCATCTTTTTCTCTCCTACCAGAATGTCTGTCGGAAAGTTGAAGATTGGCTGCGCAGGTCTCGGTCGCATGGGCAAACGCCATGCCCTGAACTTTTTGGAGCGCACGCCGCGAGCAGAATTGGTTGCTGCCAGCTCCCCGGACGATGCGGAGCTAGAGTGGGCAAAGGTTCACCTTGCCCCCTTCGGAGTGAAGCTGTACAAGAATTACGACGACATGCTCAAGCACGAAGGCCTGGAAGCTGTCGTTGTGGCTTCTGCCACTGCTGTGCACGCGGAACAGGCGATCAAAGCCATTGACGCCAACAAGCATGTCCTCTGCGAGAAGCCGCTGTCAACAAGTGTCGAGATTGTAAGGCCTTTGCATGTTCTCTTTTGCCCCTACAACCTCCAGCTGACATTTACGCTGCCAGTCGCAAACCGTCCTCGAAGCAGCCGCCCGAAAGCCTGAACTCAAGGTTATGTGCGGATTCTCCCGGCGATTCGACGCTTCATACCGCGACGCGCACAAGAAGATGACTCAGGGATCCATCGGCTCGCCGTCCGTGATGCGCAGCCAGACATGCGACAAGCTCGATCCCACCGGCTTCTTCGTTGCCTACGCAGAGTTCTCCGGCGGCATCTTCGTCGACTGCTCGATCCACGATATCGATCTGGCGCTGTGGTTCTTCGGTGAGGACAGCAAGGTCAGGTCCGTCTCAGCCGTGGGCATCACGGCGGTCGAGCCGGACCTCCGCAAACACAACGACCGCGATAACGCGGTGGGTCTGGTCGAGTTCTACAATGGCAAGATCGCATACTTCTACGCCTCGCGCATGATGGCGGCGGGCCAGGAAGATACCACCGAGATCATCGGCACCCGGGGCAAGGTCACGGTCAACGCTCAGCCAGCCATGAACCTGGTCAACGTCTTCGACAGCACCGGCGTGCGTCGAGAGATCCCGCAAAACTACTACGACCGTTTTGAGTATGCATTCGTCACGGAGGCTAACGAGTTCACGGCCGTATGCCTGGACAACAAAGACGTCCCTGTGAAGCTCGAGGGTGCTGTCCAGGCTGTTCGGATAGGATGCGCTCTCCAGGAATCTCTGACTACCGGTCAGAAGATCTTCTTTGATGAGGCGGGCAATCGTATCGAGAGGCCGAGGCTTTGAATAATTTGATCTAAATTTTGTTAATTGCATTGCATGATTGCATGTTATAGATAGATATCAATTTATGAACTCATCTACGAGACGCCTTTGGGATACTCCAGTGTCCTGTCAATGATGACCACTTTACCTCTCTCTCTATTTCAAAATCAAATTAGATCTCTGCAGCACCAGACTTGTCCTTCTCGTCAATTGCCACGAAGAGCATATCGTAGGGGAATAGAGATTTCATTATTATTGTTTATTCCCCGCCACCGACGCGGAACCTTATTTCCGAGACACCGTTTGCTCGACCACATGCAATGGGATACATTAGATACAAATCATATGAAGTCATGTATGCTGAAAAGCAGAATTCCATGAAGAAAAGGACAGACAATGAAAATGACGTCATACCTGGAATGACATGCAAGAAGAGCTGTGCAATATCAGGGATTATTTCCTATTCTTTGCTACGTAAACCGAATATCACAGTCACGAAGTAGATCATTGCAATCGATAAGGGTCATTGAAGTATTTTGCTGGCCGTATACCAGACAAGAGTAGAACTGTTTTAAACGGTGCCTGCAGCTAATCTAGAGCCTCACTCAGGCGGGCTGATAACAAAGACAAAACATCTATTAAGATCGAAGAAGCAAGCATGTAATCGAAGTCGTAAATTCATCCATCGCTTTCGTCAAATGAGGCAGAAGTTGTAGAAAACAATGTAAACGGAACGCCGAATCCAAGTGGTATGGTATGAAGGAACATTTTCAAGATGCAAGGCAACGCTGTCTACCACTTGATCACCTTATTTGGGAAGAACTCGTCGATAAGTTCGAGGTAGTAGGGCTGTGAAATATGTGTCAGCTTTATGAGTCTAGTCGGGAATGTGAGGATTGGGTGAGCTCACCTTCAATTCTTCGACAGACGGAACATCGTCACTCTTGCTGTACAGATCGTAGGGGTTGAAGGCCTTGACGGCCTGGAGCATCTTCTGGTCCTTCTCGTTCATGAACTCGTGGTAGGCGCCGGCCTGGTGCCATGGGTAGAAGGAGTGGTAACGGATCATGGCAAGGGCCTCATCGGGGAGGGTGGACTGCTCCTTGACCACGTGGTAGAGGTACTCATCGTGACCCCAGGAGAGCATGATGTTGTCAAGACCGCAGCCAGGGTTGTAGATTCCGTACTTGGTGCCGTAGATCTCATGGTCGTAGTCAGGGTTCTCTTTGAAAGACTCTTTTCCGTAGATAATGCGATCATMGAATGCACAGCCCACTGGGAAGGTGTCTCCAACAACATCCCACTGTCCCTGGGCGTCGAAGAAAAAGAGGAGCTTGCCAAGGTCGTGGATGAGGCCGGTCAGCTGCATCCATCTGGGCTTTCCATCGCGACGGATGGCCTCAGCTGACTGTAGCAGGTGCTCGATCTGCGAGAGGCTGGTGTCGGGATCAGACTCGTCAATCAGAGTGTTCAGCTTCTCCATGGCTTCCCAGATGGACATCTCAGCGCGAGTCTTCGAGCGGAAGTCATTGCGAGCCTTGAGGTTGTAGGCAACTGTCTGCTTTGTGTGTTGTTCGCGATAGAAGTTCTTCACGCGGTCGCAAGCATCCTCGTACTGGCGGAATTGAGACTTGTCCTTGCTCTTGTCAAACTCTGATTCGTCATACAATCCGCATTCTTTTTTCATCTCGTCCTTGAGGACGTTGACAGTGTCGATGGCATCGGACAGGTCTTCGAGTGCCTGGCCGTCGCGCTTGGTGTTGAACACCGCGGGTTCCGGGCTCATCGCAGTTGGTGCCATTGTGTTGTAGATGAAGAAGGCTATATGAAAGAAAGGTCTCTTTGGTCAAGATTGAGAGAATGAATGAGCTGGTGATGGTGCTTGGGAAGAAAGGAAGGAGAGATGCAGTGGGTGTTGCGGTGTTATTATATGATCGATGGAGACTTGTCACTGCTCTGTAGCAGTGGCCAGGTATATAGGTATTCACTGCTCAGTAATTTCAACTCCACGTGCCGGTGGGAATCCATGACCCGATGTGAATACATGGTGAAAATTGCCTGAAAAGAAACCCACAACAGTGAATATGGACTGATTTGACAAACGCTGATAGGAGTTGCATGAATGCACGGATTCTGGCTTCCGCATATTCGAGAATCCATGACAATTTGACTGGCTCCAGACGTATCCCCACAGCTACAGAATAGGGCAGATCGAAGACCCAGATCTGGACCAGGGGGTTCAGGGACAGCCATTCAGTCTGGCGTATGCAGGCAGTAGTGGAGACACAGTGCAAATCATTGCTGACCATTGTTGAGCATATCTTTCGGTACTGGCCCATTATCCATGTCTGCTGACTTCATAATCGCGGGGCAAAGTTCGGATGTCGGCCGTTGTGGCCACAGTCCTTAGGATTCTGGTTTCCGAGAGCCATCTACACTCTTCCCGAGCGGTGATGACAGACTTCGCGTGGGATGGACAGAGTTGACCCATGGA